AAGTAGGATTCAAAAAGACTACACAATCTTTTGCAAACTATTTAGTGGCAAACCCGAGAACGCCGTGTGACAACTAATTCGACAACGCGTCTCGAATGTCACTCTACGGCTGAAACTACAAAATATGATAAGTAAAAACGGATGTGTTCCAGATATCTCATTCAGACATAACGGAACAAACTTCTCCGGATGTTCCAGCAACGTATATCAGTACCGAATAGTCATTAAATGAAAGCCCTAGTACTGGAACTACATAGAGAGAAGTAAGCGGCAGGGAAAACCTAAGAGATTATCGAGGAAATACTGAGGAATCAGGACGTCCAGCAGAGAGCCCGCACATTATATTCCACGGTTTTTTATTGTTTTAAGATGAGACTCAGGAACGTGTTATGCAAAAAAGATGAGAGTGTGGCAAGCATCAACGTTATATCAAGGAGTTCTACTCAGCAGTGACGATCTAAGACTGGACATTCATTTGAAATGATGAACAAAATCAGGTGGACCGAAAAAGTAATATGTCTTAATGGAAACCGTTGGTCAAGTCGTTAACGACTATGTTCTAGACGATCTCAAATGCACAAATAGGAAGACACGATGATAAGAAGTTTCTATGGGGACTACCGGAACGTGGTACCTTTCATGTCCCCCTCATGCGACAGTACCTTCTCAGTAACTTTAGAAATGAAAAAAACGAAAAGGAGTCTCCCTGTCCTGATAGACGAAATCCGCCTTGTTCAACCACTTTGCTACTCAAGATATGAGTCACATGGAAAAAGGGAAGAAAAGGAAGACGATTCACGGATTCTTCCCAACGGTTTACCGCCTCATCGTGGTTGGGAGGTGTTCCTAGGTGTCCGGCTGCGATGTACAGCGGAGTAATTCATCCTCCTGGCAAGGTCTCCCAAACTAAGAAGGACTCCGGCATTTCCATCAGGAAGCCAAACTAGGAGTAAACCAATGCTAGGATCCGTCACCGTCCTGGTACCAAACCAGTCGCATGGTGGTAAATCACTAATCCACAAGAGTGGCGACTGCCTGTGATGGGGACGACCTAGGGTAGGCTTTGGGCTGGGTGACCTCGGAACTCCAAGGAACCACATTCGCTAAACCAACAAAATTCCGAAAAAGAAAAATGGAGATCATGCTGGGACCCGCACAACCTGTGAGGATGGGCCATCCAAGTAAGTAGGTAAGGATTCACGGGTTGCAGAAAATCAGAATTTCATTTTGATAGAACAGTGAAAAATGCACGTCATTGGAAAATTCTAAACTAACGATGTTCCGGATGAACTACGGCATAGTTATTTGAGGTTAAAAGGCAGTGTTAATTTATGAATTGGAATCGGTGCATATCATTATGAATGTGATAATGACTGAAGTAGCTATCCAAAGTCGCACACTCATACGCGAAATCGTGTCATAAAATTCGGTTTACGAGAAATAGCCCTGTCGGACCCAAACCAAACAACCAGAATTCAGGCCGCGTTAAAACAGACTATTCCAAAATGAGACATCGTTCCTACACTTTCGTAAACGTAGGTGAAGACTTTAGAGGGTACAACTAAACATTCAAGCGGAACAGCAACAACGAGTGGAGACGGCGACACAGAAGACAATGGACGAGGCACACTTTAACTGGTTGACACGGACATCAGCGGCTCTCAACCGAGCGGCTGCGGTCGTGACCCGATCGATCGATTGAGGCGAGGCCTGCGCCCACCGAAGATCTGTCGGTTTGGCGTTCAACACCGACCTACCCGAACACGCCGCAACGGCCGGTAACGAAGTATCCATCATCCGGACGGGGTGCCTGACGTCCAGACGTCTAAATGGTGTTCGCACAGCCAGTAATTTTTTAGTTACTCGTGTTTTATCCCTTCGATGGTCGAAAGGTTCTCAATGGGTGCTGTTTCTGCAACTGAATTCTTCGTATTTTAAAAGGAAACTAACTAACGTTTTTATTTCAAAGTATGTGCCTTCATTAAGTCAAACCGTTGGTTGTTTCAAGGTCGCGTCTACAATGTTTAATTCCCATCGATTGACAGTTTTCTTGTCTGCTTTTCCTATTTCCCAAGGATTCCCTTTCGCAGTCAGTTAGCAAACGCAATTCAGTTTTGGCGAGAAGGAAACGTTTGCCTTGATATTATCTCTTTCCTTTTGAACGTTACACTTGCAGGGGAAGAGTATTGATTTTCGGGCTCATTAACAAGATGTGGGTTGTTATGGTAAGGGAAATGGCTCATTTTATCATATATTTCATTTTTTATGTATAACATGATCCAACATCGCATATTTCGCAGATCACAATGCCTCTTTCAAATGGTTCTTTTCCTTGCATTCATCTTCGCCTGCCACTGGAGAACTTAGATTTACTCACTAATGTTCAGTCGGTATGTGCTGTATAGCCTGGGTCCTGGAATAATCGTGCTACGGCATTCACAAGTATTTATCACATTCAGTTACCAATCTTTTTGGCTTGAAGGTGTTTTCACAGACAAATCTAGAACTAATTTCCTTATAGTGGAGTGATAGGACGATTGACTAAGGCGGATTCCAACCATTTGTTATATATTGTTTTTGAAATTTATGAGATACTGAGGAAAGTAGTTGCGATATTTTTCTTGTTTTCATATCTCGTTCTGCCATTGCTGAATGTCGGGAGAAAGTGCAAAAAAAGCGTGAGTCCAGATGTTTCATTTTAGATATGAGTAAGTACAACAGAAGTCTTCGTCGACTAATTGCCTAGGAAGGCACTATTTTGATGGGATGTGGGTGTTTGCGGGAACTGGCCAACCATTGTGAATTACATTTGTTATGTGCGGTAGATCTTACCTTACGTAGAATCATTACTGCGTTACTTAACTTATTGGCTATCATTTCACAAATATAGCGGTCAGGTGTTCACGAAGATAATTTAAGTGTTAAATTTTAGATTAAGCCCACTCCAGGTGACATGAACCTCATTACTGTTTCTAAAACGTAGGACACTGTCTATTTTATAAAAGCACATGCTTTTCTCCCTATTATTCTGATATGCTAGATTTTTGGGCACCACATACGTCTATTTTCTAGCCTTTTCTCATTGGAACTTGTAACCAATGTAAAGAACGCTCGAGAAAGTTGTATTTCGTCCAGGAGGGCATCAAGTTGTTCAAAACTATCACTACCGTTTAGTTAAGTCCAAACCAGAGAAGAACATCTCATGATGATTATGAATTTCTTTAAAGAGATAATTAATGACTATACCTTATCTTTGTCATGTAGGCATAGGCTCATGCACTGTTTGCCGAAAGGCACACAACGATATGCTTATAATAGATGGTCAGCGATAGTTGTAACAATCGAAGTTACTTCCTATAACATGGAATAAAACCTTCAAATCTTACGAAAATTGATGTCAATCTGCCCTTTTTTCTACTATGCTCTGCGCATTTTATATAGCTTACTACAGCACTCCCTTCACCGGTTTACCACCTCACCGTGGCTAGGAGGTGTTCCTGGGTGTCGGGCTGCTATATACGATGAAGTGGATGTGCGAGTGGGTCCATCCTCCCAACATAGTCTCTTAAGCTGAGAACGAGTCCGGAGTTTCCTTGAGGAAGCGGAGCTAAGCGTAAACCAGTACTAGGATCACCACCGTCCTGGCATCAAACTAGTCGCATGGTGGCAACGCTCGCTCTGATTCACAAGAGCGACAACGGCCCGTGGTGATGATAACTTGGGCCAAACTTTGTCTAAGTTGGCTTCGGGACTCCAGGGAACCACGATGACTAATGATTAAACTGGCAAAACCCCGAAAAAATGAAATTTTGCTGGAGCCCGCCGAACCAGTGAATACGGGCCATTGAAGTATCCAAATAACTACTACAGCATTGTATATTTTTTAAGGGTTTTCGCATAAAATCATGTAGAGTTAAACTATTATATCACCAAATTTGTTGCATCTCGAGGTTTAAATGTCAAACATAATCCTTCTTTGATTCAAAGAATGATCGATGTTGATATGACGCGTAGGGTTTGAATTACAAATGTTCATTCTTCCGCTTACCGAAATCACCATTTTCTTGTACATTTTCTGAACGAGTGGTCGCTTATGTTTCTGAATGATTTGAAACTAAAGGCATACAATGTACCCAAGCCTCAAAAGAGTTTATACGGGAAGAAATTACCTTTTCTTTCGTTCTTTGTTACATCCACGAATACTAGACGCTTAACAAGCTGTTTGGCCACAACGTTGCTCGCGCCGTTGTCTATCGATGGATAAAGCATTAAACGCGAGCTAAAAAGGATATTGTCTGAATGAATTATGGGAACAGGTAGCTGATGAAGCTAATTTTTCGTTTTTGCATAGGTGCATGCCAGGAACTAGCTAACGCCATAGGATCTAGTCCATGTTGTTTGGTTTGGCCATGTTCTCACGGGTGCCACAAAAAGGTCGGTTGACTGTTCAAGGTTTCCAGGAAGGTTACCCCAAAAATGGAATCTAAACGAAGCTGCAGGTAAACTACTAGGAAAGAATAGTGATGTGCAGGGACGTAATGTAAAATAAAGTATTAAATAATAAGTATGGAAAGAACAAATATAACAATTACGTCTCTTCATTTGTTAGCTGGATGCATTATAAACGTGATTTTTATCACGAAAGGTAGGAGAATTTAAAAAGTTTTGGCAAGTGAAGAAAATAAAGGTTGCGATTTACGAAAACCGTGTCAAAACGGCGTGGCACTTGCCTATTATTCTAATCCACTTTGTTCAACTTGAAAGTAGTAATTCTTTATTCTACCAGGAACGCAGTACACAACCCGAAACGAATACGAAACATACAAAGACATATTTTGATGTGGGAACAAGAAGTAGCTTTAGCGCAGGAGAAGAACGAAATGGCCATCTTCATTAGCATTCATCGAAAACTTTTGAAAGGAAGTTGACGGATATCAACATTGAAAAGATGGCTGTAATAAAAAAAAAGAGGCAGAGAAAAATCTCCGTAACTTATTTCTTTATTTCCACCATAACAACGGAATAACACTTCTGCAACATAAGCACTCGTGTGAAAGACACAACATGAAAACACAAATACAACGTAACAACGAGAACAAAGTTGCTGTTGTAATAATTTTAAAGCAATCATTTAAGTGTGTCGAGGATTGAACAATGAGTATTTTATTTAAATGGAATTCTCTGAGATAGTACATTTATCACCAAAACCTATACATGCAGAGCGTTTAGACTGGCAAGCCCTGAGAGTATACCGCATGGTGCACATCTTCTTCGCGACATCTTTCTCCGGTCGAGCTGACATCATCGTCAACGAAATGATGAGTCTCTTGCGCAAAGCTGTAGTTACGCACGTTTATTCCAATGTTATCATTATTTTTTTATGTAAAGAAGATTCTCCAAATATTTTACGGCACCAGTTGCTCTTCAGAATTCATATTCTCGCTAATAGGGATTGTATTAGTCTTATAAACCAACGTTGATGTGTGTGTTCGTTTCACGTCTTTCTCCATCAGATCGTTATCTTCATTACTACTTCGACAAAACCGTCGCTCTCTAGAAAATTTCTTCATGTAGGAAACCAAACGTACCCATGACTTTGACACAAAAACACTACGACCTAGTTTCTACTTCGTCGTATCCTTCAACTGGCGCTACCCTGCCCATATCTCTTTCGTATGCAAAGTTTCTATAGCTGGCGCGATCACATGGAGCTGCCGAATCATACGCATCAATCTGCCTTCTGAAATTCCCTACTTTTCTGGTACTAATGAAACAAAGCGTGAGAGAAGAAAAATTGACATACACTAAAAACTGGTATGGAATATGTTCATCATTACAAATGCCATCGAGCGATGTTTATGATATACAATAAAACTATTATATCTGGCAGTGTCACCACCATTCTCTACAGCTTGAATAAACGTTTCACATTCCAGCTGAACAAATGTCAGCTTTACAGTGATGCTCGGTAGATTAAACACTGCGCGGATTTTCTAGTGATACTTTCAAGTAAAAGGTTTAGTAAAATTTGGCTTTGGTCAGCACTACCAATAAGTGGACAGTTTTTCGCCTTGCGGATACGTATTTCTATGTAATAATGTCGTTCATTTCATAAAAGGATAATATCGTTGGGATCTACGTCAGAACTGATTCATGTGACTTTGCAATAACTTGCATACTGTGAAGAGGGTAATGGCAGGGTTGCAAAAGTTATTTTTGTGGAACAAGCACGAGAAAGTGGGAAAAGAGAGAAATTTTGATTTGCTGAAGAGTTGAGAGGCTCATAGAGAATGACTTTCTCCAATTATTCAGAAGTAAATATGACTTTAAAAAAAATACGTAACTTTAGGATTCCTAGAATAATAACTCAGAAACATTGGAAAATAGATTTAGATTTTACAGAATCTAGCGTAATACCGGCAACAACAGACCCAAAGCAGGCGGTCGTGCTGTGCTAGCCGAAATCCAGCTTGTTCAACTGTTTTCGTGTCGGCATACGAATATCGACAAGGGAAAAAATGCCAGGCATACCGAATCTTCCCCCTTTAAATCAGGATTTTATCGAGGTAGAATCAAAAAGCATTTACGTTGCTTACAAATTCCTACAGAATTTAATGATTTTCATCTTAGCCCATGGAGTTCGGGGATTGACGTATGCGTAGTTTAAGGTTGGAAGCGGCCGTTATTTTGCACCGTGTGAGCAGAAAACACTTCGCGCTGGACTTATAGGTGCTAATCTTCGATTTCTAATTTATTTCAAATCATATTTGAAACTACAATCTACATTCTTATGATTTTTTCAGACGAAATTTTCTGTTAACAGAATATGGCATAGAAAAGTCCAAAGATAATAAATTCGAAGTAATTTTCGTTCATTTTTTGTTTTCACTCAACGGGACCTTTTTTTAGCCCAACAGTCTAAGCAAATATTTTGAGTATTCATTCCGAGGTTAAGTTAAAGCTGGTCTAGGATAAAAATGGTAAAGCTCTCGGCGTTGATCAATCCCTGAGGGATGCGCCATGTATTCGATTTCATTGAGCATTGTTTGGAGGTGACTGAATGCATATCTGGTCTTCACATTGACTCCCGATGGCCTAGCGATGTATCAAACCAGCGCCGCTATTCTCCCGGACAAGTCTGCTACAAATTTAGTTACCCCGGAGGGATGGAATGTTTGATGGACCAGGGGCGCAAGGATCGAATCCACGTGAATGTTGCAGGGCGCCTCCGACCACCGCCACACGCGACCTCCGTAAGTGAACCAAGCTGTAGCTCAAAGTTCATAAATATACCCATAACCACTTAATGAAAGTGGGAATCATCTTCAGAACAATAGCACAAAGACGAGACTGGTCATGTTTTCCCTCATTAGGAAATTTTCATCCACTGAAATTTTGCACCGCTTCCACCTACTCGCTCCTAAATCTTGAAAATGAGAAATTTGAATCTTAAAGTAAGACGTAGTGAAATTTTAAAAAAGAGTCCATATTGTTGTGATTTCTAATATACATAGCCCCGTCAGCAAATTTCTATATGTGGAGGTACTGTAATAAGAACTGTGTACTAAAACAATAGTATAACAATACAACCTGCATCTGATGACACCGCGATACGAGAAACACCATATTTTTTTGTTGTCTGTAAGAAGTAGTTCGGCCACCTGGTCGTCTGTTCTCTTGGCATAAGTTTAAGTCTCGTACTCTCGTCATCCAGTTCCTTTGTCCAACGGTTGCCGTTACGGAGCACGATGTGTAAGCATAGCCTGACTTCCGACATAATACGTGCCACGGCATTCCTAACTTTTGATTGTCCGTGCAGATTGGAACTCTAGATGTTCTTTCTCACCTCTCATTTGAATGTAAACGAATTGTGATAGTCATCTTGCTTTAACTTCAAATTTCTGAGACGTGAATATCTTAATACGGAACGAGCTCCGAAGTAAAAAATTGTGAGCGAAGAGTCACACATTCATCGCCCTCTTCACCAATTCTCCAATTCCTTCCTTGTTTCTAATGCTGGGTAATCAAGAACGATCTCATCAGAGAAGTAATGTCGGTGTTGCGTAAGGTCGTCGACTTTAACTCTCATGGTTTCTGATATTCATATTTCGACTAAATTAGGTCGAGATAAATCTGTCGTTTTCTCTTTTAGCAATCGCGAGGTTGTTAAACAGCATAGCCGTCAACCATGTGCGACTCTGAGCGGCTGTTCTTCCTCGGTGGAAGACAGATGAAAAGAGCGGCTCTGAAGAAGGCGATTCTGCCGAAACGTCAGCTACGGTTGTGTTGTATGTGTGTTACTGTATGCAGTTTAACAACTTCGCAATTGGTGAGAAAGAAAACGACAGATTTATAATCCAATGCCGAGGTTAATAGAAAGTCGATCTTGGGAACTAAGTCGAAATAGCTTTAAATAGTGTCATGAGCTGATATTGCCTTCCGGAACGAATTCATTTATGTTGATGGCAATTTTTTGTAATAAATGCAAAGCTCTTTTGGTGATGTTGCTGTATAGCTCACGAAAATATCTGTCCATTAAGTTGGAACACCCCAGTGATCTGAGGTTGTCGTGACCGCTTCTGTCCTGGTAGAATAAACACCTTTGAATCAAGAAAAGCGAGACTTGGCTTCATCTTCTGCTTTAATGGCACTTCTTCTATTTGTACATCGATAGCTGTGTTGATGTGAACCATCGCATGCTTTTTGATGCGTTTCTTGCTCACATGGCGTTCTTTAGTTTAGCGTTCGCTGTCTTACTGAGGAATACCCAGACCATCGACTTGGATCACCAGGACCCTAAGAAAGAGACGTCGAAACCTTACGCAATAAGACATCTACAACAACCTCATGTAAGCTTAATAATCTATGAAATCATGTCATGTAAGCCTTTTTTAAATAATACGTACGTGCAAGTTTTCCAATGATTCAGGATCGTAGTTTCTGATAGGTGAGTTACGAAACATCGAGCTAATGTGCAATAAATACTTCTGTGTGTTCTACTGATGTTCGCGCCCAACACTTCCCGGAATGGATACTGTACGGTTTTTTGAGGTAGTATGTTGCATTTCGGAAGTGAAAGCGGTTGAGAAGAAGAGAAGTGAGATACCCGCTGTTTTCTAAAGTAAGTCAGGTAGACATGAGCAAAGAAGAGGTCGTAGAAGAACCTCTTCTTCCAATCAAAATGCAGTGTCTATTCGGTCTACATGTCAAGGAAGATGTATTTTGTAAAATGCAACCAGAGTGATGCTGAGATATTTGCGAAACGTGTACCTAAAAACTTGGATGGATGAAAAGTTGGATGCATTTTGTATTCTAGTTGGAGAAATTGCCGCTGTTTCGACAGGTAGTCTCCCGCACCTCCACATGTTTGCACAGTAATACTGCTGGTTTTTCCTTCACATCTTGTATTGTTGCTTTCCAGCAGAGTTTTGCAAGCTCTGATCAGTGGTTGTGGTTAGCTATAGCTGGTGTTGCTCTCTAAATGCGTGACTGGTTGGCTGGAATCATAACAGGGACATGCGTTAGGTACCATTCCGCAAAGAAGGATTTTCGGGATTTCTCATAGCTCATGTGTGGCTTCTTTTCTTCTGAATGTCGAATTTAACCAACTCTACTTTCTAGGTCTTGTCTGAGTTGACTTAGTCGGATTTAACCTTATAAACATGCAGAATTGAACTCTTATATAAGCGTAAACACCTATGATTGTGTGCATGAATATAAAATCATAAGTGCTGAAAGAAGCTATTTTTTCGAAGCAGAGGTCATATATACATAGATATATGTATATATATATATATATATGTATATATAAAGCGTCTAAATTAATGGATAGCACTTTTCATGCATGAAACACCTGTACCGGAAGTGTCGTTCGTCCCGAGTATGCATCTCCGTTGCTCGGATGATGGATTCACGTTCCTCCAAAGCTACCTATACCAGATTGTTTCCACTTGCAGGTGAATGGGAAAATTAAATTGTTGTGCAATTTAACCTACAGCTGGAGTAATGCGATGGATTTCTCCGCTATCGGCTGAGTACTGGTGAACATTCCTACAGCCTACAGCTGTTTCTTTCATTTGTGCCTTGTCAGTTTCAACTCCGATTCCTCGCTTCTTAACAGTGAGCGATCTAAAAATTGCAAATAAATTAGTTGCATTGAAAGTTCTAGCAAGTTTAGCTCACACAAATGCACTTCGGATAGTGTTCTACTTCGTAGATGATCCAATACTAATGTACTAGTTGACGATGAATTTATCAGGCTCAAACTGTCAAAGTCGATCTTTTCATATTCGGTTAATTATTATGCTAACAGACGCGCATGAAGGAAAATTATCTTCTACTTTACCCTTTATAATTTATTACACAAAATAGCTCCATGTAAAAGGAATTAATAGCGCATCGTGATGTCATCGGCTTAGCCTATGAACTCTCATACATCGGCGACAACATCTACCTTCGCGTCGCGCCCTGTGTGGATCAAATGTGAGTCATTCCAGCGAAAATCTCTCCAGAAGGAAACACTAGGCACCCTTATCATTAATTTTTGTGATACCTTGTTGATACAAAAAAGAAATTAATTGTACCGGAACTTCTGAGGAATGCAACAGGGCGTAGTACGCTCATTAAGTGTCCAATAATACCCAAGCTATCTTTGTACTCAGTCCGCCAGTAATACACTCGGCGGTAATGCCGTTCCGGGCGAACAAACTTGCAAAAAAGGTCGGTTTTCTGCAAATAGAAAGACAATAACGGTAGACGCCTGGTACATTATCAAATGAAAATAAAAATGCATTTGACTGGATGAGACAACGACCCAGTTCGCAGGAAGTAGCTGTTACGTAGTTCCATGTAATGATGGACACTCATGTGGAATCGTTGCGGGTTCGAAGAAAGCAATTGTACCACATAGTTAAAAGCTAGAGGATAAAGCCGGTATTAAACAGTAGCTTATGGATGCGCAATGCATTAGACCTCATAAAGCGTCACATAGATGGCTGCAGTCTCATGACCCATACAATGATATGCGGCAGGATACCCACATATGAAGTAAATATCCTTATCCTCCTAGACAGGTGCAGTACAATTTACCTATGCACAAAAAGGATGGATGGACTGGTGGGCTCAGGGAGCGGAATCAAACCGAGACCGTGCTTTCATTGCGAAAAAAAATACTAAAACCTCCTGTAAACTTATAAATGAAATAAAACATTCTTTACCGGCGACGTCATTAAACAATAGCCGGCTTTATATATAAAAAACGAAAAATCTAAGCGAAAAAAGACGAAAAATATTACGAAAGAAAAACCATGCGACTTACGAATTTCCTTCGCAGTTGGCTGAAAGGTGCCCTATAATGTTTTTGCAAGTCTTGCATTGTACAATATCTGCACACTTGCAGAAACACTGACTAAGAAGGAGTTACACTAGGTGCAGTAACATCTACCGCCAGACAAAATATAGATTTCGCCGTTAGTTTTCGAAACAGTTCCTGCCCTTGTGATCCTTTTGGTTTATCCTTTCTTGCCTACCATATAGTCTACTAATCTTTATTACAGGCATTGAAGTGACTGTTTAATCTATCCCAAGTAACAACTTGGTATTTATGGTTCTGGCTATATTGCTATTGTTGTTACTTATATGTAAAGTTTTACTACCCATGTTTGAAGATCGAACTACAGCTCACCAAAAATCCTGCATGGTGGTTAGAAGATTATTCAGCACTCTCTTGTGAGTTAACCGGCACAATGAGTTGTTATGCTCCAGAGCTCCAACTCAATAAAATTAACGTGGCTGATGCTGGTATGAATATGCTCACTTCAGTTCTAATCTCAGCAATTTTTGCTCAAGTTTCTTCCTGCAAAGGGATTCCAGGATACTATGACCATACCATCTGGCATTGAATATTTATCCTTTTTTGTTCGTCTGATGATCATTTATCCGTTCATGAAGAAGATAATTGTAGCAGTTCAACACATACAGTATTTATACCAAGATCTTGGAAATTGGTGTGAGTAAAACTCGTAAAATTTTTCCAACAACAACAAAATACTGACATTTGTGACAGCGTTGAGCTGCAGTGCAATAATGAACGCGTGGTCATTAGTTCGATTATGCCCCGAGCTCATCAAGCCTCCCCTCCCACGGAGTTTGCGAATTGATACCAAACTTGTCTCAGAGGCTCCGTCGTAAGAAGGCGACTCCTACCCATGATTAAAATCTCAAAAACGCTGTTTCAAGGCTACTTAACGATTCTACGGAAAGTTTATTCAACCAAAATTCAACGGTGTTCACAAAGAGGACAAGAATCGTCGGGAAGCAGCTGAACCCACGCGCGAATTCAACGACCTTTGTGAATGGTTGATTCGAGAAAACGAGTTGAATGCAAGTAATAAACGAAACAAGCAGAATGAAATACTAAGATCCTATTATTCCTTTTAGAGTGTTTTCTCCCATCATATTCTTATCTTCTGTCCACTGTTTCTCATTTTTTCCAAATAGCTCTGTTTCACTCTGTTTGACGACAGTTTACATCATAAGGTGATGAGATCATGTGAAAATTTTACAGAATATCATTCATACCGCATTTTAATTCACTACGAAGTAGGACCGCAACAAAGTAAGGCTACGATTTATATCACGCAGGAGAACTCGATTTTAAAGAAATCTGTCAAGGATACGTTACTGAACTAAGCAGAAATAGCTGTTTTTACTAATGTATTTATGAGGCATTCTACTAGACAAAGAACTATTTTTTCTAGGATCTTGTATTTTGATAATGTGCCATCTCTACAAAAGAATTTAGACTCACTTGGCTTTTTCCCGACGTTTTTGGAGCAGAAAGAGTGGGAGGAAACAGAGAGCCAGACAACACAATAATAAGAAAATTAACAGAATAATAAGTAACCATAAGGGAAAATGTGGTCCCTTAAAAACAACCACTGGATAGACAAGAGAGTGTGAAACACCAGGCAACATTGCTAGTACTGGATGTCGTTCACACGAACGCTAAATGATGTTTGTCGTTCTTATAGAATGGATATTATTTAAAAATGCGATGAAAGTTAAACCTCGGCGCATCCACTACAATCCAACACTCTGATATTGCAGACGAGATTCACTGTTGGATGCTTGGCGATGAAGTGTACTAGAGTTCTTTTCGCAGCTCCTTCTCTCGCGTACTGTTCAGTTTCTATGCTCGTTAGAATCCCATCTCCACACAGGACACATCTAGAGTGCTTTTCATTACTTACAAAAGAATTACCAGAAAGTCCTTGAAAAATACTTTTCAGTGATCTGATGACGTTTTGAGCGGGAAATTCGTACAAGAGAATCTTCGAGAGGTGAAATAATGCCTAGAGATGACTAATTCTTGTTGCGCCCATGCTTCAACAGCCTCAACGATCAAACAGAGCGCGCAATAAAATATCAATGTGTCCTGCGAGAAAAGTAGCGGTCAACAACAGCTGTCGTAAGCCTCAAAAACGTAAAGGGTCATTTCGAAGCACTTCACCCCAATATGGATATAGGTTCTTAAGTAGTTAATGAAGCAAGAAGTATTGTTGTTTTTGAATGCCCAATCACTCACATTTTTGACTCACTCCAGTTTTTGGCATTTGATATTTCGAATGATAGACAGTAGTCAAGCTGTTTTTAGCCATTTAAAGATTTTGATTAGTTTCTAGTAGCGATTGTCCTACTATTACTGTAAGCACCAACTAATAGGGCTCAAATTGCTTGCGCTCTTCTACTCATAACTCCTCTTTCACCTTTGAGCACAAAGCTAAACACTGCGCAATTACCATTTTTGTACTCGTCTTTTTGTTTTTTGAATTTATTGAATATTCAACGCTGTCATGATTATTTGGATCACATATAATCGATACAGTAATGTCGCATACAACATTTAGTTACGCACATTGCCGCAATCTTCTTTTTTTGGAAACACGGGGCTTATTGACCGAATTGAATCCGGATGACAGATGTATGTACTCAGCTATTGGGTTTTACACATACGAATCCAACCCTCTAGTGGTGGATCCACATTATACTCTTTCCAACTTGTATCTTTTAAAGTTAAATGTCTATAAAATGAAATTCCAAGCTTTGACTAACCCATGACTGTCGATGAATGATCTGCCATTCATCGAGCAAGACTGCACTATGTAATCCTGCCTTAAGACATTTTCCATATAAATTTCAAAGGTATACGGCTGGCCGACAACGAACTGCTGGATGGGGATGTTCGACGGAGGATGTTCTATAGGAATGTGTCCTGAAACGAAATTTGAATGAGTGGTCAATGATATCGATCTTTAAACTCTTGTTCTATTTCAGACGACAGTATATCATACCACAGATTCAATAAAGATACGCTGAGCTCTATTAACGACTTGTGACAGTTGTGGAGATGAATGTAGGAGAAAATCCATTTAAGACGTACCATTATAAAGGTGAAGAACGGGAATGCTGGCGTGGACCAGCTGGACTATGAGAGCAAGCAGACCGCATGTGAGCGCCATATACATGAGTGAAAGGGGCAGAGCTTGCGCCAGCAGCATTACTTGCAACTAAAACGCGCGCACGCTGCTTTACTGCGCCTCCTGGCAGCCAGTGACTAATGTCTCGCGTCGAGTAACATTGCTCGAAATATACATGTATATAATCATACAAATCGTACAATACATGTGAATCAGGCATTGGTGCATTAGTTGTCCGTCGTTCACTTCGAGTGGCGGCGACACGTTATCAAACCTTACTACCAGCGACTGAGCGTCAACGAAGATTCCTCAAACCGTTCCATCAAATGAGCTAGAAGAAACGTTTTGCAAAAGGCTGCCTAAAGTCCTAGAAGATTTTGCAAATTTGTTGAAGGACGATCCCTAACTTCAGTTTGTTCGCCGTATTTTTATACAACATGCTTCCTACAGGTTGTTAGCTGCTGTGGAAATCATTGTTGAAAACTGTAGGCAGTAGAAAGCGAAGAGATAGTTAAGGTCACTTTTGAAGTAACATTTAGTCGCCTACAACCTTTTAATAGAGACGTTTCATGATCTCCGAAAAGTAATTTTAACTTGAAAGAGCGAATTCCGAACAATGGAGTAGACAGGAGAAAAAATTTTAGGTCTGTTTCTAAACAGCTATGTAAATAATCTTTTCAGCATATTATTAAGCGATATCAGGATGAATGAGAACACCATCGTCTATTTTCTTCAACGTATTCAGCAAACTCATAACTTAAGCAGTGCCGATAGCGTCAGCTGTAATGGCTACCGGTTAGCAGCAGCACTTTGTCAACATTTCTTCCAAATTACACCAATAGTTGGCAAAAAATTTTTCTAACTAAAATCCTAGTTCCACTTCGCACTGTAGCAAGTATTTTTTCGATACCGCAGACACTTATGCGCTTCCCGTAGAAGATCAAAGATTTGCGAGAAGAACTTCGAAAACAAATTCTTCCAGGTGGCTTGTTGAGCGGATTAAAAATAACATCGAAACAATGTGAGCGATTCGTCGCTAACACGATGAATAAGCGAAGATAAGATGATGAGTGAGTGAGTGAGAGGTTACTCTTGAGACAACATAGCGCGTTGCTATAGGGTAGTGGAGTAATATGATGTATATGATATACAACGTTCACACAGTACAGCACGATCGTTAGAAGGGGCTTAATATTGTAGAAGGCATATTTTTTGTTGCAGTAGCCTTAACTTATGATAATAGTGCGATGAGCATAATATGTGTATAAACAACGTAATTTTTAAAAGTGCTCACTGCGAAATATGATCTAGGGAGGGAGGGTAAGGTTGCATTAGCAAAGATGAAGTGGACTCTGCGCAGTGACAAACTCTTAAACGGGGTAAATGATACATTGCACAATTATGCCAACAGATATCGAAGGATTTAACCTCGGCGGAATTACGACTAGATGAAGTGAGGTGGCAATAGTGACCTTTGCAAAATCCTTATGGAGAGTACAAAAACTCGAGACATTACTAGATTAACGATTCGCATAGGATACATGGAGAATGCTCATAGCTTTAATGCGTCGATGAAGCAAGATGCGTCAGATTTGGTTAACATTAATTCAGTTTATGCAAATCAAAAGAACAGTATGCGGAAAACATCAAACAAGAAAGCAAAATGATTTAGAAGGGTTCTCACGCTCTCTACGCGTCGTCTGAAGGCAAACGGCACTGCTGTGTGGCGTGATTAACTTTTGGCTAACGTTTGTACTAATGTAGAGATTCACATCCAAAGAAACTACAGAGCTTCTCAACCATTTGATTTTTCAAGCGTGCAGGTACTAGGCTACAAAGTTGTGAGGTTTGCAGAAAGTATTTCATGGCGTCACGGAAGATAACGATCACGGTAGAGAAGAACATGTAGCAGATAGCTGGATATTCACTGCTCGAAGTGCCGGATAAAGAAAAGCAGCTCTTACAAAGGCATCACAGAGCCTTTTTCAGCCAGATGCTAAACATGTGCAGAAGGTTAGAAGTTATACAAGAAGTATATTTGAATTTTATTGAAACGCCCTAATGAAAGCCTAGCAAAAACTGACCTCGGGACACCATGCTACCACCCTGGCTAAACCAAACCAGCACCAATACCATGCGCACTGGGCGCACCGGCCTATGGCGCTGCGCGGTGAGACAACCGGTGAAAGGCGATCAAATCTCGGGTTGCGTTGGAGATAATTGGAAATGGACAAACACACGCACGGCAAGCCCCGAAGGCTGCTGCACGTATAAAACCGGAACAATCTTTTTAGAAGCAGACCTACGTGCTCTTCTTAAGGCTGTTAATCGCAGGAGCTTCCATGTGATCGTCTTACAAGAGACGAAAACCAGGAAGGCCGACAAGCACTAATTAGATGATGGAACCCTTGGACCCGTGGAGGGAAATTTCCATTACGAAATGTCAAAGGAGTTAGCTATGTCCTACACCTATCTCGTTCCCAGTTAGTCAGCACAGGCGAAATCCTTTCATCGGGTTTGGCCAATGTTCGTCTTCATCTTCCACGTTAAGCGAAAGCCAGCACCAACAACTGCTACCTGCTACTCACTATCTTGTGGAGCTACCGAAAGCGAATCGCACGCATTTTACAAACAAGGAACTAATCCACAACGTCTTTCTGAAAATTCATTATAGGAGACTTCATTGACAGATCAAGGATGATTGAACGCAGGGTAATTTGGAAGAGGAAACTAAATAATTTGAACAGCAGGTAAAATTTGCTAGGGACATGAGGGTCTCCTATCGCTAGTGATCGGCTATATTACCACTAACGGAAAATGGTGGATCTATTAGGCCTCGGTGGTACTTGGATTCTGAACCGAACCTTACCACTGCCTTCTCCACGTGAGAATTCAATTCAGAGACTGCCACGACCGACTTTCTGTTAACCTCGGCATTGATCAAGTGATTTTCTTCGTATTTTTGTTGAGCAAACGCGAGGTATTACTATTCTTTGTTCACGATTAAGCTAAATCGTGAACAAAGAATAGTAACACCTCGCGTTTGCTCAACAAAAATACGAAGAAAATCAATTCAGAGACAAGCTGGGAAAGAACTGTCATCGTAAAAAAAAAAAGAAACAGGTCGTTTATGAGGAGATTCTCAGTAAAATCCTTTCCACATATGACAGTCAAGTAAAGGAAGACCAGACCGAGGACTACAAGCTGTTCTTCGAAGTAGTTGAAATTCGCGCCGAACTCGCCTCAGTTTCTCAAATAAGAGGTCCAGAACGCATATCTACTATACTGGAGATTTGCTCGAGAACAAAAGGACACTAAAGTTTATTCCCATTGGAAGACACAGCACGATCGACAACAAATGCTGTAGATGATCTCCGATAGCAGATTTACGTCAGTGTAGGCAGGAAACCTCAATGGAAGCAACCCCAAGACGATGCTGTTTGAGGGAATGCCATCCAGATCTTTGCCACTATGATGTTCCGATATCTGCGCTGATAAACGAAGATGCTGCTATCACCACATTCCGCTATGGTATGGAACTGATAATGGAAAGGCTACATGCCAACTTTTTCTGCCCTACAATCCTCGTCTCGGACCCGAAATGTTCGCTAGTGAAAACTCCTTGAGGTCCAACGTTGTGAAGCTCGAGTTGCGAAAGAAAGAATGAAAACGCACACAGCTCCAGGATCCGATAGTATCACCGCTAATTTCCTAATAGCTGGACACCAAAAATTACATCTGCTTGTCACGGCACATATAAAATTTTACATCCAGAAGGAGAAAATTACAGGCTAGTGAGCGATTTCGCAAGCGCTTTTTCTGGTTACAGCTTTTTCAAAATACCGACTGACTTTCTGTTTTTCTCTACATTAATAATTAATATATGTAATCCTTGCAAACTGCACTTGTTGAGCTGACGTGAGGTTCTTGTCAGGTGTTGTTGTTATTGCTGTTGTTGTGTTCTCATTCGATGGCTAACTTTTGGCGATTTCGCCTTCTTCAGAGCCCAGAAGTACTCTATCTGACGTTCTCCATTTCACCTGTATCACCTGTGGTCCCATTGATCGTCGAGTGATTCGAGCGGGCACCAGCAAATCTTCCATTAATTTTCCATTTTTCCCTGTCGCGTGGAAGAGTAGCCCAGTGGGTTCTGCTCGCTCTAAGAACTGGCTGAGCATCACATCTTTCATAACGGCCCACTCTATCTTCGACTGTTTAGCGTTGAAAACGGCAACTTTAAATTTTGATCGTTGACGTAGGTCGGAGCTTCGGATGCCTTCCTTTACTTGCGTAACACAGGATTCGCGTTATCGAACGCGCAGTCGAAAGGACGATGCCAGGAGTAACCTATTCCACACAAGTAAGGGATGGGATCCGAAGCTCCGATCTGTGTCAACGATCAAAACACCAAACAGTCGAAGATAGGGTGGGCCGGACACGTAATGCGTTTGAATGACAACAGATGGAGAGCAGCCGTTAGTGACTGGATTCCTCGGGATGTCAAAGGTACTGTAGGAAGACCACCGACCCAATGGTCAGAGTTTTTCACAAAAAGCCTAGAAGAAAGATATAATGTTCGACGAAATCCTAGAGCGAGCAGAACACAATGGGCTACTCTTGCAGTCGACAGGGAAAAATGAAAGATTTACTGGCGCTCGCTCGAGTCACTCAACGATCAACAGGACTACAGGCGATATATTACAAATGTGTAAAAATACTTATTACATAAATATATCTGGTGTACACATTTGTATCCCATAAAATGAATTGTAGCTCGCTTTTTCACACCTTTTGTGATTTCGCAGAGCCAACGTTGTTTAGAATTTTACTGCTACTTTTACTTAAACATCTGTTTCCGAAGACTAAGTAGAATGAAAACATATACACACATATATATATGTATATGTAGTTATGGAGCTTCATGTGTTAAATTGCTGTTATATGAAGCCGTTGGTCCGCAATCGCCATGAAGCTTTTACATTCGGCGAAAGTGACAGAAGGCCTGACTATGACAATGACTTTTTCACTTATTGAATCGACCATTACACACCAATAATGAAGTTTCTTACTCTCACATTTCT